TCCGGAATTTCACGTGAATTCTTACGGAACACTTACAGTTCAGGCTTCCCACTGTTCACAGTTTAGGCACTTCTGCCACCATGTTAAAATCTTTACTTTAGTTTGATGAGGAGTGTAACTATGCAGAGATACAATAGCAGATAAGAGTGACAATGAAACTAACTGTAAACTGGATTTATTACGAATAGCGAAGACATGTTCTATTGTTCCTCTATATCGGATCTTCTAAGCTCAGCCAGTCAACGCTACGCATCAGCGCTATATATTGTTACAATGTGAACAAAAAACTCCGTTATTACAGAAAAGAAAGCGCGCCTAGTAGCCTACGAAATTGCGGCAGCATTTCTAGCCCGTCTCTACATAACTGGGTAGTGAGATCCCTCGTGCAATGGGCAGAACTGCTCAATTCGTCGAAAAGCCGGCTTCAAGCCTCTCCTGGAAGGACCGGCGATACTTGCGTTGGGTAGAAGGCAGCGAAATTGCTAAAGTGCGCCGCGAGCGGCGTTTGAGCGCTTCGCGCGGATATCCGGCTGCAGACTGTCAAGCTGTAGAACATTAATTACAATATGTTCGTCTGGGTATGCTATGCACATGAGCGACGGAATTAATATTGTGTTATCTGAATATTTGGCATCTACAAAGCATCGTCCTATAGACAGTCGTGGTGGGTGAAGCAAATGCATCTTGCCGTATTAAAAACAATTACAAAATATTTAAAATGCATTTGTTTCACCATTGATATCATTACTATGGCATTAGTTGGCAAATGACAGATGATGTCAAGCTTGGACCACATATTAATATGGATTGGAATGTTCTTGTATGAACTGCAAAACTGAAAATAAACTGCAGTGGTGATAGCACTGTACACCCTAGCTTTATCCGCATAGGTTTTTTCTCCAACGCAGGCACCTGTAGCAGGTCCACCACACCTATGGCAGAGTAACGGTTACAGCAATGTGCACCCAATGTTTCCACTATTGACTCAATAGCGTAAAGCCACGATTTTGACATGCATCATAGAAACTGTGTGACCGTGCACTTGATTTCCTAACAACCATGCAGTACTAATAACTGCATGTTGGTGTTCACATAAAGGGACACAATCTGACCTTCATACACTCACGGTTTGGCATTTCAGATGCAGTGCCAGTGAGTATGCAGTGCTTTAAAAAGCAGACCATACATACAAAAATTCTTGATCTGTGTGCGAAAGCAATGCACTGCCAAATATGGGATCATACTGTGAGCTGACTATTTACAGCACGGACAGCCTCAGTCAATCATTGGTGGGTGGGGTTCTTGGACAAAACTAAGAATATCTGACCACACCTAATTATCAGTGTTATTATCAGAAACAACATATAGGGCCTATTATTCATAATATGTATATTATTTCAGAATGGATAGAAATGACCATTTAAAGCAAGTGGTGAAAAGTCTCCCTAAAATATCACCGCACCTTTGTAAGAAGCAAGACAAATTTCTTAAAAAAAGGGTATGTCAGCAAATTGACCACATTTTAAAAAGGGTATTTTGTAAGTTCTTCTGAAATTAGTGCATCTAAAGCACTTCATCAGTGTATTTGTATATTTTATTTTAATTTAGTTTCTGATATTTTGTTTCCATTTTATTTGAGCACTTTATACCAATATACATGCATGCAGATTAAGTTTTGGCTGCCAGGTGTGAAGTCTCAAACTGAATAGGATTCACACCTGAACACAGAATGATTATTGCAACATTCATCACATATAAGATAGTTAAACGTGGTTTGTTTTCACAGAGGAGTGTAGGTAGAAGTCCATTTATATAATTCCCTGCCAAAAGTCTTATTATAAAATAAGTATAATACTGTTTGTATCTAGTCACATATTCACAAATGTCAAGGTTGCATTTAACATACACTGCATATATTTTGAATGGTGAGAAAAATTATATGAATCTACTGTAATAGTCATATATTTTTATAGGCATTTGCTCTATTCGTGCACAGCCGGAGGACTGGCCAGATAGCAGCAGAGCCATCATGGTTGTGTTGCGGCCAGTCATACGCAGTGGGCGCGTTGAACGAGTTGCATCAGCACATTGCTTTGAGCCATGAGGAGGAACTCGATGTGTTGTCAAAAACGTTGATAGCTTGCTGGGAAGAGCAAGCATGTTCACACTATAAACAAGGTGTGTGTTGCTAATCAGCAAAAGACCTTTATTCCTGTCATGGTGGGAGCGATAGTTTTTGTGTTCATTGACTTCATTTTGATATATATATTAATACAGGTTAGTTAATATACTACGAACAATTTGGTAATTTGAACCAATATTGGTTTTACAGGCGCTGAGAATGGTGCAATGGTGAGGCCACAATGTTGTAAAAATGAAGGTGAATACTATTGGCTTCCCAGTTACGACAAATCAACAGAGAATAAGGTGGATGATGGAAGGGTCCTTTTGTTTTATAAATACAAGTAAGTGTATCTACTATATATTGTATACTCGTCTCTACCCAGCATCGCAATAATTGTTTGAATTCGTTAATGTTGAAGCATGCATTTTCACCTTGTCTAGATATATATAGGCTTGGTCTATCCAGTAGCAGCCATGCAATATGTATTAGGTGAAATAACTTTTTTTGTTTCTCACAGAATTATTAAAGAGCCAGAGGATGTATGTAATTGGCAGAGGGCGCTGTGTACCCGGCTTGGTCTTAGAGGAAAGATCCGGATTGGTTGTGAAGGGATCAATGGCACAGTGGCGGGACACCCGAGGGCCACAGACACATACATGAAGGCTTTCCTGCAGCATCCCAGCTTCTCTGAAATGACAATGCACGACTTTAAGGTAGTAGTTTCTAATATCAGGTCCTAGTCCAAGCCATTTTTCATACCGAATACCGGTGCCCAAATTACGACCCCTAGCAAAATGCCCAAATCACAAAATTCATAAAACACCCCAATTAGCAGAGCTCTGAAAATTGTGCAAATTAAATATCCATGTTTCTATCGTTATGTAGGCACTGTTTTATAATAAATGCTCAAGATCTATATACTCTATTATCTGTTAAAATAATCTATTAATTTTAATGTTATTATACATAGATCTACGGGCCAGGCCCTATACCTAAAAAATATTTTGGGCTCGCCAGCGGTCTCGAAACTTTTTTTGGGCTCGCTACACTCCATGTGTGCCCATCTTAAGCAGCTACATTAGTCCCTGAATATAACTGAAAATGCTTGACTTCATCACCGTCTCATGTTTCTTTATATTCTTATGAATACATAACTGTTATACGTGAGGTATTAAATACACTTGCACCTGTTAACAACTTTAGGTGTCGAATATGAATACCTATGTTGAACATGTTACTGCAGTGTGTAACTGATTGGTTGTATCTTCTTCTTACTACCAAGCAAATGCAATTTGTGTATGTTTTGCAATTATTCAATTAAGTATATAAGTAACTTCCTATGTAAAAAAGACTAGGGATTAACAAATATATAATTTCTCATGCACTGTGAGCAAGAGGTGAACAGCAAATCAGTTAAATACCTCAAAATTATGAAGCATATGAGAATTTTTTATCTTCACCATGGTAAATGCACTAGGTAATCAATTATCACAGTTCATTATGTTTAGCTTTTGTGGTATCAGTAATTTACAGTACAGGTTTTATGCATTTTCAGAGTAGCCCAGGCTGCGTAACCGATTTTGATGACTTGAGAGTAGGAGTCTATAAAGAAATTGTCCCAATGGGTATAAGCCCTACAGACGTGTCTTATACTGAAACAGGTAAGAAACATTACAGCTAGCCAAGTATTGTACAGTATAATTAGTCTAACACGGCACCTGATATTCAGTGTCTACTGTGGCACCTATACATGTGTACACTGTGCTATGCACCCCTTTGAAAAATAATGAATGGCAATTTATATTGAAACAGGTTAATCAGTGTCACAGTTTTAGGTACATTCATTTGCATTGCTATTTATTAAACTTGAATCTCCCAATACCATGATCAGATATATTCAATTTAACAGACTCTAAACTTGCAATGTGTATCGAAACAATATTTTGATGTTTTTGAACTGTCACTCAAATACGAAAACTTTATATCATTTCTTTTGGTTATTATATGAGCCACTTCCATTTGTCTTCTAAAATTTATTGTTTAAAGTAAGTAAAACAAGTAGCAGGTGTAGTAATTGGGTAGTATTTTTATTATATAAAATAATTTACATTGTACATACTTGGTATATCCTACAAATGACAATTGTATTACATTTATCCGACATAATGTGAATGCATTTAAATATATAGTACTCTATTTATCACCTTTACACCCAAGAGAATGAATATTTATAAAAATTGCATTTTGATGATCTTCTTAGCCTAGTAAATACTATTTCCGAAATAATCTACTTTTATAATATTTTACATTATTCACTACTCAACCAGAGTTGTATCTTTTCATCTATCACTTTCGTATTGAATCGGCTAGCTGATGTCACCCATGTAGTATATGTACCCATGGGTACATCAGTAGTCTCTCTGACAAAAATACCAGAAGAACAATAAATTTATGCCTTTGGTAAAAATTGTTTGAAACGCCTTACAGAAAGTCTAACCGAACTGTAGAATGATCAGCAGCGGTTTGCTAGCTGCCTGGCTATGAGCTCGTTCTAATGTAGCCTTTGTGTATTTTACTAGGCTGTTGTTTTGCGAGATAACCATAACCATTTGGTTCAAATATAATCACTCCGTCGTCTGGTACTGTCTGCTCCTGTGTGTTGGCTCCGACTATGTTGGGCAGTGCAGGCGATTCTGTGACGATTCCTAGGAAAAAGTCGTCTGTTGTGATGAAAGGGGGCAGTTTCGGTGTTGTAGGGCGTGTCACCGGTGGGCGTGTCACAGGTGGGCGTGTCACCGGTGGGCGTGTCACCGGTGGGCGTGTCACCGGTGGGCGTGTCACCGGTGGGCGTGTCACCGGTGGGCGTGTCACCGGTGGGCGTGTCACAGGTGGGCGTGTCACAGGTGGGCGTGTCACTGGTGGGCGTGTCACTGGTGGGCGTGTAACTGGTGGGCGTGTCACTGGTGGGCGTGTCACAGGTGGGCGTTGAAGGATCGCTGGCAGAGGTTCCTCTACTGTTCGAATGTAACCTTTGTGTATGCGGCTTGGTCTTTGATTGTGCAGCAGACCATATCTGTTTTCGCTTTCAATCAGCAGGAAACTGAAACATTAAACGTTATTTATTAGGATTATAAGTAGCTATGTAGTGGTTAATGCTTTTTGACTTTGTATGACTAAGTATGACATTGTATTGATTATCAGCAAATAAGCAAATTAGTTATGAATAGGGGAGTTATTAGGTATTATTTCGTAAAATTCAATATATGTATGCTGTTTGTGTAATGTAGACAATATATATTCATTCACATGTAGCTGCTGTTTATACCTTCCTTCGTCAGTTCCTTCTTTTCCGAATCTTGACTCTTGTCCAATCACATTTGGCAGCTGAATAAGTGGTGGTCTGGGTGTAGCACGTGTAGTGGAGGTGAACGGTGCACGGGTAGTGGGGGTGGGGGTCTCATTGCGTTCTGTCGCAGCCATCTGTGTCACGTTCGCGTCGCGCGCCGCGGCGCTATGTTGCGTTCCGTCACGTTGCATTGTGTTCTGTCGCTATCATCTCGTCGTTGGTGCGCGCTCAGCCGGGGAATTGCTCATGTAATATAGAAATACGCGATGGAACGAGGCGTCGTCACTCGCTCTCCACTACACTGGGTTCACCGTCCGCAAAAGAGGAACCGTGCTTCGAATTCTACCAGGGAATCGTAGGAAAGAGCTGCTGTTTCCCACTTGCTTGCAGCAGGGCTTTGAGTGGCGATATACGCGTTGAACTTGAAGAAGATGAAGTTGAAGTGAAATGGATGAAGATGAAGTGACATGGCTGCTCTACTCGTTGGCCTTCATGCACTTCTCATGTATACGATGTTTGTGTGTGCGTCCCTGTTTGTCCCACATAAAAAGTGGGTCGTTAAAAAGTATGTTGGCTTAATGACTCATTATTTGAAGGAAATCTTTGCCTTTGTGGCTTTCCAACTAGCCACGATGCCCTAAAGCTTTTAGATAAAATCATGTCAACGCTTCAATTTTCCTCAAAATAAATATCTTACCCCTGTATGTGACCTCCCCTCTCTGTAAAGTCATGCGCACACATGCACACACAAACACACACATGCACATATACACTCACACACGCACATGACATTGCACCTGAGCACGCGTTGTCATGCCGCTCATCTTTCTTCTTGCAGAGCCTCTCATCCAGGTGTCAAACTTCCAGCTGGAGAAGGTTCTCGGCCCGCGGTCAGCAAGCTTCCGCTGGACGGCGGTCGACCCGACCGCTCGCGACATCAACGGAGAGTTCCAGGGATACAAGGTATGTACGCTGCCGCCGCCAACGACGACGTCGCCTAGTTATAGTTTTTTAAGTGGAAGCTCCCGTGCTATGCGTCCGGTCGTATATTTCTTTTGTGAATCCAACTATATTTTTAAGTAAAATGCAAGTTTTTACCATAATATTACTTACCTTTCGGTATTTTATAAAAAAAAAACGTCTGCTGATCCTACTCATCTTTGCTGACCCTTGCTGACCTTGGCTGACATTGTAGGTGCAGGCGTGGGTGGCTGAGGAGGGACTGGAGAATGTGCGTGAGGTGCGAGCGCTGCCGAACGCCAGCAGTGCGGTGCTGGACGTGTTGAAGCCCTACTCGGACGTGCTCGCTCAGATCTTCGTCTTCAACGCCGCCTACGACGGCACGCCGAGCCCCGCCATCACGTTCCGCACGCCCGAAGGACGTGAGTAGTGTGTGTGTGGGGGGGTATGTGTGTGTGTGGGTGTGTGTGTGTGTGTGTGTGTGTGTGTGTGTGT